TTTCCTTTCCTGTTTTCAGTTTATATCCTCTCTTTAATCCTCCTCTGTGGTTGTAATGCCATAGCTACTGCCTTTGCTGTGGGGGGAAAGCCGCATACTGCCTGGTTTTTTTGCTTGTGTTTCAGCTTTCTTGCCCTCGAAGCTATCCTGGTTCTCAGCCATGACAGAGCTAATTTTTTTGCAGTAACTGTGAGAGAATGGAGTCTGGAGCCATGTGGGCATGTCTAGATTATTACTCTGTATCACCTCTTGTCACTGTCAGGGCAGAAATGCTTCCCAGAAGGAATGGCAATGGCTTGTGGTCAGGAAGAAGAGTACAGGTGAAGAGGGTCTGTTTGCCATTTTGTTCATTTGTGGGTCGCACTGGGTCAATTCGGGCTCAGTGAGCATTTTTTGCACATAAATCACCCTCCTTTTTGTATATTTTTCTTATTAATATTGTTACCATTACTGTTTGTTTTCTTGTTTTATTGCTGTTTCCAGTAAATTCTTCTTATTTCAACCCATAACCTCTGACTTTTATGTCTTCCGCCAGAAGAGCAGTAAGAAGAGCGGTATCTGGTTTGGATTAGTCTTGGTTGGGGGTATCACTAAATTAAGGAGTGACGTTCCTGAACCATGACAAAAGCCTCTTAGACCATGTCCTGCATGCAAATTTTGGAGCTGTTCTGGTGGTAGTAACCTATTGTATAGTTTCATTTTGTTCTCCCTAGTGAAAAAGTTTTTGTCTCATGTAAGGAAAATATTTGCAAAAGGAGTGAGAAAAATGCAACAGGTGATAAGCATCATTTAGAACTCATGAAAGGTGCTGTTGTAACAGGATATTTTTATACTTACATGACTTTAAATGTCATGATTTTTTGGAAGGGTTGGGGCGAATTGCAAAAGTTTGCTGCCCCAAGGCTTCCTGAGGCAATGGGACGAACTGTACACGACTGTGAGGGTATTACTGGTGGGTAAGATCTAGCATCTCCAGGGACAGAAGATCAGAGCCTTCTGTACCCTTCTGCCTCCCAGCCAGTGTACAGTTCTGTTCTCCCATATTTAAATCATGTACCGTACTTGTTTATAGTAGCTTATCAAGCTAGAAGGAGAAATGGTTTTGCTGTGATAAATGGTAATTAGAGAAATCACCTTCAAATAAATTCTTTAAAAACTGTTCATTTGTATGGCATATTTACTTATTTGTGTGCATTTCACTTTTCCCTTGTCTCAGAAAAATGTGATTCCTACTCCTTGATTTTTAAAAAAACCCAAAAGTAGAAGGTTACCAGATCTGAAAACTTAATTTTGTAGTCTTTATTTTTTTTTTCCTTATGTGACTTTTTTTAGTTTTGATGTATTAGAAGTTCAAGGTGGGAATCTGAGCTGCTCTGCCTCAGTAAAGCTAACAGTGGTTCAAGGCCTCCAGACTCAAAGCCTCAAGGCCTCTGACTTTCTGGCTACAGGCTACTCTGGGGGAAAAAAAAGAAAAAAGGAAAAAAGAAAGAAATAAGTAAAATTTGGCACTGAAACACAAAATACGTGAACCTGTCACAGTAAGCAGTCTCAAAGGGCAAGCTGCTTTGCAGGAGCTAATTAACCTTAGGAAATAATTACACAAATATGCAAATGTTGTTTAGACAATTCCATGTGTTATTGACTCAGGTAGTCCATCATAACTGCAGACCTTGCAATGTCTAGGTGTTAGAATCTGGCATAGTTGATAAGGCTTCAGTTGCTGCATTGCTCCAACCTGGTATTTAATAATTAATGACTGTGATAGTACATTGGTAAATTTAACCTCTTTTTTGAATGCAACAGAATATAATATTCACAGTATGCATACTGCTTATCTGTGTATACCTAATGGCTCCAACCATTAAAATGTTATATACCTTTCAACTCGTAGCACTAGCCATGCTGGAAAAAATGGCAGATCAAAATCTGAGTTCACTCCCTCCACATTTCTGCCCAATGGATGTCCCAGGAGTAGCCTTGTTTGGATTACTTTGTATTGTGTAAACATTGCACTAGGGCCTTTTCACATCATACAGTTCTTAATCTTTTCTTCCCTTCATGTTAATTATATATATAATGATCAAGAGGAAGGGTTTTCAGAGGGATGGAGACCCACAAATTCAAAGAACCAGACCACTTATTTTGACATAGAATTACTTGCTGCAAGTGACCAGCTTTCAGAAGCTGGAAGTTGAAGTTCAAGTTTTCCTGTATGTCTCCATCTCAATCTGTTAACAAACAAGAATGCATTCAGCCTGAGGTGCCTTTTGAGGTACATAGTGTGATTTCTCCAGGATAATGTTCATTCATTTCTGTAGACTTGTGCAGATAATTATGTAAACTCTGACTGGAAAACCCCCTCTCTCTCAAATAATTTAACAATGTTCTATATAAGTGCATTCAATTTAGTTTCAGAGAAATTACAGAAAGCAACAGCTGCCAGAGACTGTCATCTTTCATGCTGAAAATGCAGCATCCTGTCTCATAATTTAATCCAAGCCAGGCAGTAGAGATTAAATCTCACAGACCCAGTGCAATTTGAAATCCTAAGGAGATCAGCTGTGAACTGCTCCTGCAGCTGGATATTCCATGTGCACACATGGAGCCAGGTCTGAGGTGTTTGTAATATGGGCTTGTTACAAAGGGGAAAAATAAGCAGATGCTGTGAAGAAAGGGCTTTTCTGCTAAGCATATAGGACTCCTCCAGACTCTTTCTTACACATATATGTTTTTTAACCTTGTTTAGGGTTTAGTAGAGTGTACGGCTACCCAGTTTATCCTGACATTTTATGGTTTTGGGTTTTTTTAACTGGTAATAAAGGAAGTTACAGTCTAACTCATTCTAGCTCATTTATTTTTGCTTTTATAGAATCCTATTGAGTCTTTGCACTGGACTGTGAAGCTGTGAAGTTATTAATTGAGTTTACTAGACCACTGGTTATGCTTTGATTGGTGAATGTTTTTTTGGGCTGAGTTCAGAAGCTTTTTGCTGATGTCTTAGTCTTGTGGAATCTAAAATGGTGTGCTTTTACTAGCAGTGTGTCAATTAATAAATACAAAGCAACCTGAAAATGCTATATTAAGCAGAAAAAGTGTCCTCTTTTTCTCAGATTGTTTAAACAGCATTGGGTCCCTATACAAAAATTGCTGTTAAAAGTATTAATGTCAACATTATTATTGAAAAATAAGTACTTCCTGTATCTATAACTAAGATAAATCTTTTAGATAAATTAGTAACTCTGAAACTTTCTCAGTGTTTTAATGTACTTTTTTTTCTGTACAGATTATAGAGTACATCACTTTTGCACAGGAAACTCCTGTTCAAGTTGTCCTTCAGCTTTATCTTAGTGACTGGTTTGTCAATCATATTTTCTTTATGCAATTTTTTCTAAAAAATTTCCCTCATTCCTCACAAAGGGAGGAGTCTTTACTTTCTGTACCTATCTATACAATCAAATTTCAAAACAGAACAAAACTGTTTTGAAATAAGTCTTTTCTTATACTGAGGTAGTTTATAATAAGTGATACAGAATTAGTTAAAACTATGTTCTGTTGTAGTCAGTGAAGAGCAGAATCTGTCCAGGAGTAAGAGAAATTCAGGTTTTTCTGTCTTATAATCACTGCTGCTGAAGCAGAAAAGCACATCATTATTCTAAAAACTTTGAGTCAGGATCCTTAAAAGATTTGTTACCATCTCACTCTTACTTAGAAAACAGGGTATGAGAATAGAAATAAAAGCCAGAATCAACGACATTATTTAGTTGTGTCTCTTCCCACTGATTTTAAACACTTATAAGAGCTTAAATCCCCAAAACTGAGTTGCAGAATGGTATTGAGATCTAGATCACCTTAACATTCTTGATAAATTTCAGTAATTCATACTGTGTAATTAGCTGCTTCTGGTTGCCAGTGGCTTTTACTGGTTTGTGCTTTCTTTTTCCTAAGGAAACGAGGCTTTTCTTGTCTGTGTCTGAGTTAGCTAAGGATATGAAGTTGTTGCTAGCACAGACCAAAAGGAAAAGGAATGCAAACTTTAGGAAAATACATGACCTTGACTGATTAGTTCTTTCTGGCATTCAGGAGCCTGGAAAGAGCCAATATTGTTATCCTGGTTGTGTGAAATACCGGCAGAGCAGGGTTCCTAGCAGAGTATCTTGTTGCCTGAGACTAGATCAAATTTGTATTTATGACCTCAACAACCCAGGAAAAAAAGGAAAATCTAGAGGGGTATAGTTTTTTTCCAAGAGCCTCAAGGATACAAGTACACAACCATGAGTTTTGATGAGACTACACTAAAATCAATGTGTGTCCCTCTAGTGCCTTCTGTGACTCTTGCACTGGCTGACTTAGACAAAATCTTATTCAATAGTAAGAAAACATGGTCTCCTAGCTACCAAAAACTCCAAAGTAATGGCTGCCATCAGTCAAGAGGTGTTTTGTTTGCACCATGTCTCATAGTCTGCAGTCACAAAAAGTAAGATTTGAAAGAGTAGTTGCAAATACCATAATTTTAATCTTAATTCAGGTTTCCAGTGGCTCATAGTATGAAAAAAAAGTAAAAGTTGAAATTTTAGGTCTTTACCAACCTAAATTTTTCTATGATTATGTATTTATATTGTATTTCTTACCTGTTTTTATTTACCAGTCTAAGTCTTAAGTACTTTAAACAAACCCTCAGTAAACAAACATTTGACAAAAGAGTTGTCAAAAAAATGAAAATCCGAGCTCATAATTCTATGAATGCCTCAGAATTGTCATCATGGTATTTGCGCAAAATTTTGCAAATGCATAATTTTGTTGTATTTATTAAAGTAAGCTCAAAAAGCAACAGTTTTACTGCCTTTATTTAGACAAAATAATCTGTTCTCTTTTTGATACTAGTGTGTATTCATTTGATCTTTATTTTAACAAAACATTCTAACATATAGGAACACATTGTTTTTAGACAGAATTGCCATTTTTTAAAAGATAATTGTCACAAACGTAATTTCTTTCTGCAGGATAATGGCTCTCCTGAAGAACATGCGATTTATGTTTGGGACCATTTTATTTCCCAGTCAGCTGCAGAGAATGTGTTTTTTGTTGCTCACAGTTATGGTGGACTTGCCTTTGTAGAGTTGGTAAGTGTGAATTCTCCATTGCTGTCTTTCCTGAAGACTGTCCAGATTTTCTACATTCTTTGTGATCACCTTCTTGAAAGTAGCTAGGTAGAAACAGCTGTGTCACTGGTCATGTACAGGTTGGTCAGGATTTCTTTGCAACCAGAAGGTCACTGCATCTTTTCTGGTTTTGAGATAGACAGTAAGGTCCCAAGTGTGCATGAACCTGAAAGACTGCGGGGAAACAGAACATGCTGCATCCCTCTTGTCCAGACTATGTACTGAAAGGCACCAGTTATATGGGACTAAGGACATATAAGAATGGTTTTAAAGCAAAGTCACAGACACAAATGCAGCTTTTTGCATATAGATTGGAACTCAATGTGCAGGGAAATATGGTAGTTTTATTCAGTTTTTGCAGTTTTTCTACAAAGATCTGCAGAACTTGCTGGAAGGGCTTCTGTTTTCCCATTTATTAGGCTCTGCAGCAATATAAGGTGGGAAAAACTTTGCTCAGTGTAAAGCTGTTCTACATCTGGTGCTGAAACTGCTGAACATTTAGTTTGTCAGTCTTTCACTCTTTTCTCTAAAGGCAGATCTCTCGACCCCATCTGGTATGCCAAGCTGCCTGTTAAACTTGTGTACCATTCTGTCAGTGTAGCTACAGTCTCCTCATAGGATTTTAAAAAAGTAGTGTAATCAGGATATGTTTTATTGAAGAAAACTACAAAAAAGTAAGGGTCCTGTTTATTGTGGAAAGGTAAATTGCAGAGCATTAGAACTGATTTTATAGACACAGGAAACAATAGACATATATGTACATCTTTTGTCTGCAACTCATTAGTTTAATCTAACTGAAAGTTGATTAAGATGTTTCCTGCCTGAACATAAGATTAATGCCTTAGTTAAGAAAAATCATGCATGGGCATGTTGGTTTTAGTCTTAGCCTGCTCCAAGTAGCAATAACAATCCAGACAATGGCCACTGGTATTACTTTAAGAACTTGAGATTTTCCTAAACCCCCCTTTTTTGCTGTTGTTGAAATTAATGCCATTTTCATTTGTCATTTCATTCATCTCTAAGATCCTGGAAGAGAATGTGCAAAATACGTTTGATATGTACAGGTTTGAGACTTGAGAAACAGTTCATTTCCTGATCTGAAGATCATTTGAGAATTGATCATTTTTCACAGGTGCTTTATTACCTGATCAATGAATAGTCTCAAAACTAAATTTTTAAGAGACCTTGAAGGTGAATAACTCTTTCTGTATCTACATCTATGGGAAAAAGATGAATTGCATTGCATGTTCCTGTTGCTCTTGAGATGTCATGAACGTTAGGAAGCAATTGTTCTGTCTTGGCTTTCCTGAGATGTGATTTTCAGCTGCTCTGTGTTTCAGCCCAGGTTATTCTGGTGCGACTTGTGGGTCCAAAGTAAAGCTTTGGCAGATTTTCTGTAGGTTTTGTAAAGCCACATTGTTTGGGTCACCAGATGCCCAGAGATACATACATGTGGCAGAGGGCAGGAGTAAGAAGCAACTGGAGACCTTTCTCAGTGTTTCCTAAACAGAGTGCTGACTTGAAGGAGGCTTGGAGAGTTTTTCCATCACATTTCAGACAATGGCTTGAGGTGGTCTGGGTAACAGATAACCAAGGTGTCATTCCCATTTTCCTTGTTTTTCTTGTCACACTGGTAGATATTTCTTCACTTTTGTTCTACTTTAATATGAAGCACACTGATATTTCAGAACAAGACTTGACTTCTGACCTTGGGGCTTCAAGGGTCAGGGTGCTCAGGGCCTGTGAAGTTATCACAAGCTGAGCGAAAATTTTTATCAATTGCAGGAAACAACCAGTAAGTAAGAAGTTAAGAAGCATCTTTGTTAGAAAGACAAGGTGGTCTCAGTAAGGGTCAGCTTCTGTACTCTGCTGTCTCTGCAGGAGATGCATACCTGGGAGGAGTAATATTATACATATCCATTGACACATTACTTATCTGTCATGCAAAACTAGACCTGAAATGTATTTTTAATGTAAATCAATGTTTTTCTAAAAAATCAAAGGATATTAACACCTGGTTTAGGCAGAGGTAGTTTGATATTTGAGTGCTACCAAAAGCAGTTTGATTAAATAATTCATTCACTGAAGGACACATCATTGAAGTAAACCCTGAGCTATTTCATTGCAATATTCATTTGTAAGGTTTTATTTTGAATGTTATCATCTTCTTTCTCTTAAACTTTATATCCATATGGCACTTAGTAATTGCAATGAGCTCCAAAAAGAGCAGCTGATGGGCAATTATGGTCTTATGACAAATACATTTTCGATCACTTCACTTTCTTCTCTGATTCATATGGGGGTGATGATGAGGTTGATAGAGCAGCTACACCATATAGCTCCTACACCATATACCATGTACCACCTCTACACTTCCTTTGCAAGTTTTTGGGTTAACTTATTCATGAAATTGTAGGTTACAGTTGTTATGGAGACCTGTTGCACAGCTGCTCCTTCTGCATTTGTGCCTCTTACAGGAGAGTAGTGTGAAGCATATGGCTTTAATTTGGAGTGAAGGTTTCTGCCTGAGCCCTCTGCATTTTATTTTGCCTGCAGGGAAAAAGAAAATGAGCAAAAATATCCAAAAATATTTGTGTTTTCCATTCCTATATTCTTAGTGAACTTTCTGTGTTCAGTGCTACGAGGTCTGTCATGATGGCTTGCGGTCATCTCGGCCACAGCTTGCCACTTCATCATGGTGTAAGTCTCCTGATGGAAATGGGATGTTCTGCCATTAAACAGAAAAACCCAATGGAAGCTGATATTAAGCAAAGTCTTGTTCATGGATATTCATACCATTGTGTGGGAAGAGCTGCTGCTCTCCCAGGAAAAGACAGGGAACAACATTTGGCCTTCCACAGGCAGTACCCATCTAGGTGCTCCTTTGTCTGAAGCTGCTGAGGGAGGTAACATAGGAAAGGCTGTGCTGCTCTGCCTTGTCCCTTGATTGGCACTTGATGCACTTTGTTAGGAAACACAAAGTGAGAGAGAGCAGATAGGACCATCACATATGAAATTAGTATAAAAGGAGGATAATTTTTATTTACAAAACTTCGGTGGCCAAATTTTGGTCTTCATTCCAAATTTCTTCTCACCATAAAAATAAGGCTGTGTTTTGGAAATCCTTTATTAAACAAACAGGTAAGGCTTGGCTGCAATTTTCAAATACATGCCACATCAGGTAAAAATTTTATTGATCTTTGCAGCTTTTTGATCTACATTTTCTCATGTCTGTGATTGCAGGATGTTAAGACAAATAGGGTGAGTCTGCAGTATCATGCTCAAATACACAGAAACTGTTACTCAGTTACTGCAAAATAAGCACACATTTTCTGTACCTTGTTGTGTCATAGATTACTAGGGGAATAATTGAAAGTGATTGAAATGTGTGGAAAATAAAGTTTCACCAATAAATGTACTAAGTTTTATTGTTCTGTTGTTTATAGGTTGAATTACAAATGGTAAATCATAAGCCGTATGTTAGAATGTATCTTAGTATTTACTAAATTAAACTTTGTGTAGTTGTAGTTTGAAATTAAACTAATATTTAGTTTAATTTTGTATTAAGTGATAATATTTGCACATAAATTACTTTTTGAGTGTAGAGCACTAAAACGAATTGTTGGGTCATTGTGTTTTGCTAATTGCTAATTACTGATTTTTAAAAACTCAAACCATGATTCATTAACACATTTCAGCTTCTTAATTCTGTTATCCCTTGCACTGTATAGTGAGGGATTTATTTTCAGAATCAGTTTGCTTTACTTGACAGTAAATTGTGGAACCTTCCAAACTGCAAGCTTATAATAATTTTATGTAATTTAACAGAAACTGAGAATTTCAAGTTGATGGAGTCGATTTTATATTTAGTTTACAAAAAATAAGAAGTTTCTGGTATAATGCCTCCTTTGAGTTTTCCTGCCAAATTTTATGGGTTTACCATTATTTTGCTTTAAAAATAATGTTTTTCCTTGCCATTGCCTGCATGAAAGACCCACACAGAAGAATCTTTGTGGAACGCTTCTGCTATTTGCTTCCTATATTTCTGAGACCCTAAGCTTTACATTTTCAGTTATTTCCTTATAATTTTATAACTAGAGTTACAGCCTTTTTGTTTCATTTTTAGTTAAATACTATCTTTTAAAAAATACCAAATATCATAGAAATCATGAAAAAATTGTAAGAATCATTAATAGTGTCTCCATCTTACATCATTCATACTGCTGTAGAAATACGAACTACACACAGGAATGCAGTAATTAGAAGGAGGAAAGTAGGTTGTCTTCAGCAGGTGTAAAGTATTCATTATGGTTCTTTTGGCTAAAATATTGGGTGTATCTATTGACAGTTTGCACAAAGGTGTAGGTAAAATGGGGGGAGGGTGTCCTTTTAGTGATCTTTGTTACAATGAGAGCCCTTAAAACACACTGTTCAAATTATCTATGCACTGTAGAGTCCTAATTCCATCAAATCTGCAAATTTTGGCAATTTGAAATAATTTTAGGTCCATCAATTTGAGATCCTCTCTGCAATATGCTGCCGCTTCATTTTGCTGTATTGTGTTGAATATGGCAAAGACCTGGCCCTGACTGGCACTCATAGGTGCCATAGTAATGATGAAAGACAGGCATCTGCTGAGCTACCTGTGAGTCTCTGAGGCTACATCATTATTCTGGCGCAGGCAAAATGCAATTTAAGAAACTTAATGGCTAGGCTGTGAACCTATCATTAGTTTTTCATTAATTTAGTTTCCTGAAGCCTCAGACTGAATGGTTTGTTATATTTGGCTTTTTATAAATACTTACATAAATATATCTACTTATTTTTTAGTTTACCCGGAAAATTGATGAGTGGGTACTGTGGACATGCAAGTCTTAATTCCCCTGGCTGACATGTTAAATCGAAATAGTCTACTGATGTGTGGTAGAGATAACATATAGTCTGTGATGGCTGTAGGAAGC